CTGAAAAGCAAGTACTCGTACTCGTTTTCCAAAAAAGTGGTATCGGTGCATCCCTAGTTTAAACTGAGAAAATGCATAATTTTAAGGGAAACATAAGTTGATTTTAAATTTCATGGCATCAACACATCTCAAAAAAGTTGGGACAAGGCCATTTTTACCACTGTGTGGCATCCCCTCTTCTTTTAATAACAGTCTGCAAACGTCTGGGGACTGAGGAGACAAGTTGCTCAAGTTTAGGAATAGGAATGTTGTCCCATTCTTGTCTAATAAAGGCTTCTAGCTGCTCAACTGTCTTAGGTCTTCTTTGTTGCATCTTCCTCTTTATGATGCGCCAAATGTTTTCTATGGGGGAAAGATCTGGACTGCAGGCTGGCCATTTCAGTACCCGGATCCTTCTTCTACGCAGCCATGATGTTGTAATTGATGCAGTATGTGGTTTGGCATTGTCTTGTTGGAAAATACAAGGTCTTCCCTGAAAGAGACGATGTCTGGATGGGAGCATAATTTTTCTAGAACTTGGATATACCTTTCAGCATTGATGGTGCCTTTCCAGATGTGTAAGCTGCCCATGCCACACGCACTCATGCAACCCCATACCATCAGAGATGCAGGCTTCTGAACTGAGCACTGATAACAACTTGGGTTGTCCTTGTCCTCTTTAGTCCAGATGACATGGCGTCACAGTTTTCCAAAAAGAACTTCAAATTTTGATTCGTCTGACCACAGAACAGTTTTCCACTTTGCTAGAGTCCACTTTAAATGAGCCTTGGCCCAGAGAAAACGCCTGCGCTTCTGGTTCCCGTTTAGATATGGCTTCTTTTTTGACCTATAGAGCTTTAGCCGGCAACGGTGAATGGCACGGTGGATTGTGTTCACTGACAATGTTTTCTGGAAGTATTCTTGAGCCCATGTTGCGATTTCCATTACAGTAGCATTCCTGTGTGTGATGCAGTGCCGTCTAAGGGCCCGAAGATCACGGGCATTCAGTATGGTTTTCGGCCTTGACCCTTATGCACAGAGATTGTTCCAGATTCTCTGAATCTTTGGATGATATTATGCACTGTTGATGATGATAACTTCAAACTCTTTGCAATTTTTCTCTGAGAAACTCCTTTCTGATATTGCTCCACTATTTTTTGCCTCAGCATTGGGGGAATTGGTGATCCTCTGCCCATCTTGACTTCTGAGAGACACTGCCACTCTGAGAGGCTCTTTTTATACCCAATCATGTTTCCAATTGACCTAATAAGTTGCAAATTGGTCCTCCAGCTGTTCCTTATATGTACATTTAACTTTTCTGGCCTCTTATTGCTACCTGTCCCAACTTTTTTGGAATTTGTAGCTCTCATGAAATCCAAAATGAGCCAATAGACCAACGCCACTTTTGCGTCATCGAAGGGTAACGCCCCCTTTTGGGGGAAAACACCTCTATACTGTCTATGGGAAAACATACGGATTCCCATGAGAACAGAACTCGCACTAGATCTGCAAAGTTTCTTGATAGCAAAAATGGCACAAACTTAAAGAAGCTAACGTTACTGAATACGGGGTTACAGAGGTGTCCCTTTGAAATGGTCGAAAACTGGATTAATGACCCCACACAGCGGCCAAATATGGACTATTCAGACATCTAACGTTACCACTATCTCGTGGAATCACCAAGTAAGTAGCCTTTTTTATTTATTCATTTATCATTTACACACTCACTGTAGCCTATGAGAAACTACTAGACGATGAGGCCATGTCACTTGGATCATATTTAACTTGATTTAAGCTATTGACAGTTTTGTTGCCGACTAGCTATTAGAAAGACTAAGCTGTTAGCAGCTAACATTACCTTATTAGACTATGTCAATAGCTTAAATCAAGTTAAATATGATCCATTCATCGTCTAGTTTGTCATACTGTGAGTGTTAATGAAAAAAAAAGGCTACGTACTTGACGATTCCACGAGATAGTGGTAACGTTAGATGTCTGAATAGTCCATATTTGGCCGCTGTGTGGGGTCATTAATCCAGTTTTCGACCATTTCAAAGGGACACCTCTGTAACCCCGTATTCAGTAACGTTAGCTTCTTTAAGTTAGTGCCATTTTTGCTATCAAGAAACTTTGCAGATCTAGTGCGAGTTCTGTTCTCATGGGAATCCGTTTGTTTTCCCATAGACAGTATAGAGGTGTTTTCCCCCAAAAGGGGGCGTTACCCTTCGATGACGCAAAAGTGGCGTTGGTCTATATTTGGCATGGCAATTCAAAATGTCTCACTTTCAACATTTGATATGTCATCTATGTTGTATTCTAAATATAATATTGAAATTTGAAACTTCCACATCATTGCATTCTGTTTTTATTCACAATTTGTACAGTGTCCCAACTTTTATGGAATTGGGTTTGTACAATTAGAGAGTCTCAAACTCTATTCGTACTAGTGAAAATACAAGTAGAGAGCTCTCAAACTCATTTCGTACTAGTGAAAATACAAGTAGAGAGCTCTCGAACTCAATTCTTACTAGTGAAAATACAATTAGAGAGCTCTCAAACTCAATTCTTACTAGTGAAAATACAATTAGAGAGCTCTCGAACTCAATTCTTACTAGTGAAAATACAATTAGAGAGCTCTCGAACTCAATTCTTACTAGTGAAAATACAATTAGAGAGCTCTCAAACTATTCATACTAGTGAAAATACAAGTAGAGAGCTCTCAAACTCAATTCTTACTAGTGAAAATACAAGTAGAGAGCTCTCAAACTCAATTCTTACTTGTGAAAATACAATTAGAGAGCTCTCAAACTCATTTCGTACTAGTGAAAATACAAGTAGAGAGCTCTCGAACTCAATTCTTACTAGTGAAAATACAATTAGAGAGCTCTCAAACTCTATTCGTACTAGTGAAAATACAATTAGAGAGCTCTCAAACTCAATTCGTACTAGTGAAAATACAATTAGAGAGCTCTCAAACTCAATTCGTACTAGTGAAAATACAAGTAGAGAGCTCTCAAACTCAATTCTTACTAGTGAAAATACAAGTAGAGAGCTCTCAAACTCTATTCGTACTAGTGAAAATACAATTAGAGAGCTCTCGAACTCAATTCGTACTTCAGAAAATACAGTTAGAGAGCTCTCAAACTCAATTCGTACTCGTGAAAATACAAGTAGAGAGCTCTCAAACTCAATTCTTACTAGTGAAAATACAATTAGAGAGCTCTCAAACTCAATTCGTACTAGTGAAAATACAATTAGAGAGTTCTCTAATTCAGTTATCGTCAATGCTTTGTTGCTAGGTTACGAATCTTTTGAGGCTTGATGTCTGTATTCACATGGCAAAGTTCGTCACAACTCTCTGTTCCTGATTCACTGGTTTGAGCGACACCAAACCCCATGATGTGTCAGTGAAACTGTCAGAAATCTCATTACTTCACATGTGTGTCACTTCCCCACTTCAGTGTGATTTCCCCATCTCCGTCACACTCACACCAAACTGAGCTTAATGTTGTGAGAGGTCAACAAGCAACTCTTTTCACATTAGTTTCTGAGATGAATATACCTATCTGTCGTCATCTGTGTGTGCTAAATATTGTGCTGGGAGTTAATCGCTGCTGGAAATCCTGCTCAATCTGGACTCTGTTCTGGAACATGCGAATCTAGCCATGAGCGGGCGAACAAACCCGCGACTCAGCGGAGACGCACAGAGCCACCGCTGGAACAGGAAGTGTGTGAGACCACTTCCTGTGGCTGTTACGTTTGCATTTTTGTGTGCATCGTGATGTTTGGAGAACATATGACCCGGATGTTGGAGATCTGCCTTTTCTGCTGTGGATAATGTGCTGCTTACTAAAACCAAAATAATGAAAAAAGTGTGTTCAATATTATAAAAATACCTGAATTTGAATAGGTCAATATTTATAAAACTTAGACATGTCCCAAAACTGAAATTGATTAAAGCTAAATATATATATATATATATTATTATTATTATTATTTTATATAATGACTTAAGCATAACAAAATGATAATTCTTAGCATCTTTTATTTTTAGAAATGCACTCCAGCTGATAATTATTGAAAATAAATTAATTTGTTTTTTAAAATAGTTATTTAATGATGGCATAATTATCTTTTGCCTGATAACAATGAATGGCTGGTATTAAAATTATATTTTGTCTGAATACTTTTACAATGAAGCCTAAAATCAATATATATATATATATATTACTGTATATAATTTTTCTCTATTTTTGTAATGCAATATTAATTTTATTAATACATATTTAATATAATAATTTAATATAATAACAATGGTGTCATGGCTACTTTTAAAAATTGTCTAAACAAATAACTTTAAAATCAAGTGACAACAATCACAAGTTATAACAATTAACAATGTAACTAATGAAAAATAAATGACTTTTTTCTTTTAATATAATCAATAACAATTATTTTATGGCAGATTATCAAAATCCATATTTTGTCTAAATAAACCAAAAAAAATAAATAAAATGAGTTGTTTTCAGTGAATTAAGGCATCATTATAATGTACGATCTGAAAAATGGATATTAAATGTGAAATTGCCTGAAGATTGAACATTATTTGGGAACTACACAAGGTTGTGTTTAGGGCAGATTCAGGCTAAATACATAGTTATTACCCAGTTACTGTAATAATTACACAGGAATGCGGAACAGGGCTGTGAATTATTTTTTTCCTCCATTATTTCAGTGAGAGAACAGCAGAGGAAATGTTCATGAAAGTCCAGTCATGTAGTGTGCCCGTCATTGAGCTGAATGGTGTCTTTCATGTGTCCCGTGTGTCCTCAGTCATGCGCCCGCCTCATGCCTGGTGGTGTTCATGGCCCAATAACCCAAAAACACGAGGTGTCGAGCGACACTGGGCGACGCAGAGCATGTTGTAGACCCCAGAGCTGCAAACGAGTGTGTGTTCCCCTCAGCAGAGGGTGCTGTTGGGACGGGTTGTTTGCTGACACAGTTTGGTTTGATGTCCGCAGGGTTTCCTGATCGGGGCCCGTCCCGAGAACGCCTGCGTGCCGATCGAGCCTCCTCCCCTGAGGGACAACCTCTCCAGCGCCTTCATCGTGCTCATCAAGCGCTTCGACTGCAACTTCGACATCAAGGTACTGGATCACCGGACGTCACACACAACTTCCCCCACAATCCTTCACTCTATTCACAGAACATGAAGTCCTCCACTTGTTCATGTCATGGTTTCTTTATCGTATCTTAATTTAATTTACTTAGTTTTTTAAAACTTGTACTAAATATGTCCTGCTCCTGGAAATAGAAACAGGGAAACAAGGGTAATAAAGAAACATTGCAAGTACGCAAATACTCTCCTAAATGCAAAGTCCCCCCGCTCTTCAGACGTGCCTCAGTGCGCTCATGCTCATGCCGTTGGCAAACAGTTCAAATATGCAAAGACTTCCAGAGGGTCTGCCTACGGTCTCTGTTCACCTGCAGCACTTTGGACGACATCCAAGCGTAACGCTTGTGGCATATAGCTAAATATTTTTCCAACACCACAATAAACCATTCGACAAAGTTAATCATCTACGGCGCTGTGGAATGTTTATCTTTTTAATCTGCATAGAGAGCGAGTGTGCTGGCAAAGTAAAAAAGTTTTGCAGTATTTTAATATGTTTCTAATTCAATCCATTGAAATAGTTTGTCCACTCGATGCTCCTGATATTATATCTGTGACCTTCACGTGACTTGAGTGTGAGAGATTTTCATTTGCGAGGAATGTCTTGAATGCTCTTATCTCTGTCTGTGCAAACATTCACTAATCACTGATCCAGCGCTGCCTGTATCTGACTCGAGGAGACCTTCGAAGGGCACAGACTTTACAGAACACAGTAATACTACACCGGTATATATTTAGCCGATTTAGATTCAGGGGGTAATATTGGTTGTTTTGTATTTGAAAGTGACAATCTAGTCCTGCAATTCTTAGTTCTGCCCTGAGTGGCCGCTGTCGTGCCGTTGAAGGGATAGTTCAAAATGATCCCCTAATTTACTCACCCTCAATCCTTTGTGTGTATGACTTTCTTCTTTCAGCCGAACACAATCAGACACACACATCCATCCATCATAAAAGTAAGTCTAGGGGGTTAATAAAGGCCTTCTGAACCACAGCTGTGTGTTTTTGCAAGAAAAATATCCATATTTACAACTTTATAAACTATAATCACTGGCTTCTGGTAACGATCGTACGCAAATTTTGTTCTGGTGGAACAGTGACCTCTGACCCTAAGCATGACTAGTGGCCTCTGACCCAACACATGACCTCTGACCCTACACTTGACGAGTGACCTTTGACCCGCCACATGACCTCTGACCATAGACGGTAAAAGAAATGGACAGAGCGATCTCATTGGATCTCCATTGAGACCATTGAAGCCCGTTTTGGGCGATTTTTTTTTTTTTAGCACTTCCGTTCCAGACGCAAAGACTCAAACAGAGCTTGACTACGTATATGTGATGCGAGCAACCCGTCTGTCTTCTAGTGCTGTGGCATAAGAAATCTGAATCATTCCCTTCCGAAACCTGCAGAGGTGGAGAGTGTGAATAGGAGCTGTCCATTAGTGAGGAGCAGAAGACAATTTTTGCTAGGTATTCTGATTAATTTTTGTCATTTTGCCTCCACGTTTCCCCGATTGCGCGCGAGCTTCTCCTCCTGTCCATACGGTAATCTCTCTACTGTGCGACAGAGAGTCGCGTGGGTATGACGTAGGGATGAGTCACGATCTTCGAATGGTCGAATAGTCGAAATGCGTTCGAACTTCGATCATAAAATAGCTTTTTCGAATATCGTTATATTTTCGTGCAATAATTCCAATGTGTATTTAACATAATTGACGCAGCGCCTACTGACACAGATCGCGGAGCAAGGTATTTTCCTGTTAGGGACACAAGGTGTCACTAACATGCATGAAACCCACTACTGGGCGATCTAGGATACCAGCTTTTTGAACAGTGTAAACAAACAACAGAAGAAGAGCACTGTCGTGAATGCACTGAATCGGGAATCGGGAGAAATGCCTACTGAACCACCGGCGGCTAAAAATCCACAAAATGACGCCCTCTCTGCTGCAGCGATTGCGGTCTTGTTTGGCGAGGATAACATCGAGCAGACAGCAACAGCGACAACCGAACTCTTGCAATACTGCCAAGATACAGTATGCCCACCAATGAACGCTGATCCCATAACATGGTGGAAGGCCAACGCGAAGAAATATCCCCGCCTGGAAAAGTTAGCAATCTCCTACTTGAGTGTGCCTGCGACATCTGTGCCATCCGCGCGGGTGTTCTCCGCGGCTGGACTAATCGTCAACAGGTTGCGCTCGCGTCTCCTTCCAGAACATGTTGATGACGTGCTAATTTTTCTGAACAAGAATATGACATAAGCGTTATGCTATGAATAGTTTATCTTAATCGAAACGAATTAGTTTAAAAAGTCGGCTGTTGCCGGTTACAAGGCAGGTTCGCATAAAAACATTATTACATGATATTATTTTTTGATCGAGCGAGCATCTGGCTTGTCGATGCAAAATCGTTTTTTGTGCTTTTAGTTTTTTCTTCTTCCAATTATTCTTCTGTGTTAAAAAAATGACGAAAACATGTCACTTGTTCAATTAATAAATCGCTAAAGATGGAATTAGCCTCCCTTTCTGTTATTGTGTGAGTGCGTTTTTTTTTTTCTCCGATTTTCGAACGATAATCGACTTTTGCTCCTCGATTTTCGAATGCCATTTTTGGCAGAAATTCACATCCCTAGTATGACGCAATCGTTAGCCTACTTTCACTAAAACTGCTTCTACGGGGCCATAACATAAGCTACAAGGTAATGGAGCTATTTATACATTGTCGTGTTTCTTTAGAAATAAATAAAGGACAAATGGGGTCTTCAAACGCCTCAGATGTAGAGTTATTTGCTGTCAAAGTGACGCCAAAATGAATGGGAGTCAATGGGAATGCTAACGCAAGTGAAGTTCTGCTACAAGATGTCAGCTCCCGCGAGGCTTCAACTTCTGGTCGATGGATTACCCCCTTGCCTCTGACCCGACACATGACAAGTGACCTCTTACCTGACGCATGACGAGTGACCTCTGACCCGATGCATGATGAGTGACCTCTGACCTGACGCATGACCTCTGACCTCACGCATGACGAGTGACCTCTCACCTGACGCATGATGAGTGATATAGCGGCTGTAGACCAGGCAAAATTATATTTGCAGCCGCGAGAGACTAAACACTGGGAGAATTAATGCACTGCGACGCGCAGAAACAGTTTCACACAGCGATCCACTCATTTATTGCTTCTTGCACAGTTATCAATTCATAAGTGCAGTGTGAGTGCATAAAGTGCGGTCAACAGAAAGTGTTCGCTCCCAGGCTCACTCCCTCTCTGTCCAAACCCCCATGCTCAGGTGTACAGGTGTAGCAAACAAATACGTGCAAGAACCACATCACTTCCGCCCAAGCCCCGGTAGACACGCCCACCACCTACAATCTGAGTGCAGTACTGAATGAATGAGACCATAAAACCATAGGAGACTTACAGTTGGCTCTTACATTCCGGCCCCTAATTATTTTAACACAATAATTATACAACTGCACATTATGTAAGAGATCAACGATATGATTATTATTATTATTTTTTATTTATTTTTTTTAACATAAAACAGTTCCTTCGAAAGTGTCTTTTCTTCTTTAGATCAAACAAGAGATAGAGTCCTTTGTCTTTGTAAAAAGTGATCTTCACAATCACTTAATCATGTAATGTAAAAAGGTCTATATAATAATGTCAAGATTAAAGTCAAAGTCTAAGAAGTTCGAGGGTCAGCTGGATATCCTCATGGCTCCTCTGCTTCCTGTAGAAGGCAAATCTTGGTGATAGGCCTATCCAAATAACTGGTCTTCGTCCTAATTCGCACTTGACGAACAAGTCTTTTTCTGTCAGGGAGAGTTTGCACAATCCTTCCTGTAAGCCATGAGTTGCGAGGTGCTGAGTCGTCAACTATGAGTACAATATCTCCAGTTTGGAAGTTGCGCTTGATACCAGACCACTTCTGACGCTTACAAGTGACATCTGACCCGATGCATGACCTCTGACCTGACGCATGATGAGTGACATCTGACCCGATGCATGACCTCTGACCCGACGCATGACGAATGACCTCTGACCTGACGCATGACGAGTGACCTCTGACCCGAAGCATGACGAGTGACCTCTGACCCGACCTTGAAGTAGGAGTAGCATAAGCTTATGTGAGTTGACGCCTTTCGCGGTTCAAACAAACAGTGCTGGGCAACAAACTCAAGCTCCACCCACATTTCTCTTAAAAAAATCACATTTTAATTCATGACCGGCATTTTGTTTTGCCCAATCGTCATGCGTAGGGTCAGAGGTCACTCGTCAAGCGTAGGGTTGCCCATCACTGTTTGTTTGAACCGCGAGCGGTGTCTGTCTACTCACATAGGCTTATGCTACTCCTACATCATGCGTAGGGTCAGAGGTCATGCGTCGGGTCAGAGGTCACTCGTCATATGTAGGGTTAAAGGACATGCGTCGAGTCAGATGTCACTCATCATGCGTAGGATCAGAGGTCACTCGTCATGTGTAGGGTTAGAGGTCATGTGTCGGGTCAGAGGTCACTCGTCATATGTAGGGTTAGAGGACATGCGTCGGGTCAGAAGTCACTCGTCATGTGTAGGGTTAGAGGTCATGCGTCGAGTCAGATGTCACTCATCATGCGTCTGGTCAGAGGTCACTCGTCATGTGTAGGGTTAGAGGTCATGCGTCGAGTCAGATGTCACTCGTCATGCGTTGGGTCAGAGGTCACTCGTCAGGTCAGAGGTCATGTGTCGAGTCAGATGTCACTTATCATGCGTCGGGTCAGAGGTCACTCATCATGTGTAGGGTTAGAGGTCATGCGTCGGGTCAGAGGTCACTCGTCATTTTCAGGTCACACGTCATGTGTAGGGTTAGAGGTCATCCGTCGGGTCAGAGGTCACTCATCATTTGCAGGTCACTCGTCATATGTAGGGTTAGAGGACATGCGTCGAGTCAGATGTCACTCATCATACGTCGGGTCAGAGGTCACTCGTCATGTGTAGGGTTAGAGGTCATGCGTCGAGTCAGATGTCACTCGTCATGCGTCGGGTCAGAGGTCACTCATCAGGTCAGATGTCACTCGTCGGGTCAGATGTCACTCGTCATGTGAAGGGTCAGAGGTCACTCGTCATGCGTAGGGTCAGAGGTCACTCTTCCGCAGAACAAGACTTGCGTACGCCGTTATTAAGCTTTATAAAGTTGTAAATACGGATATTTTTTTCTCACACAAACGCATGGCTGTGCTACAGAAGGCCTTTATCACCCCCCTGGAGGCATATGGATTACTTTTATGATGGATGGATGTGCTTTTTCGAGCTTCAAAATCTCAGGCTGCATTCACTACCATTATACAGCTTGAAAGAGCCAGGATATCACCTTAACACACCTCCGATTAACGTTTGGCTGAAATAAAAAAAGTCATATACACCAAGGATTGAGGGTGAGTAAATTTTACTTTAGGGTGAACAAACCCATTAACTGTGGTTAGGCTTAGAGCCCTGCACGGGCCTCAAATCTAGGCCCTAGCCCGGCCCTGGCCCGAGACGTCCAGGCCCTAGCCCGGCCCGTGTCCGACAGCTCATCAGAATGATCAGCCCGAGTCCGACCCGAGCCCGTTATTTAAAAAAAAAAAAAAAAAAAAAAAACCTTACTCAGCCTGCCCTGTTGCAGCAGTCATTTAAACAGATATGTTTTGTCCTCAATGGCAAAGTAGTTACCGTTTAGATTATTTTCATTTCTTTATAAAGTTAATTAAGACAAATGTTTCTTTTTATTTATTTTTTTATGACGACCAAGCACCCGACAGCGAGTTAAACATGTTTGATCCATTTATAGCCTCTCAAATCAACACTTGGCTACAATAAAATCCATAGATATAAAACAACTTAAACATATTCACACAGACAGTTAACGTTAGTTTAAACGTTTGTTAAACGTTTATTGTCATTTTTGAAAAGCTGAGGCAAACTGCTCTGCTGCTCGCAACAGCGCTCGTACAATACAATTTACAATACAATACAATACAGAGAATGCAATCTAAACAAATCAGATAAATTACATTAAAAACAAACATGCAGGTTATCTTACCTCAAAAATCAAGTCTTTACTACAAAACATGGCCATTCGTGTTTCCGATAGACTCATGAAACTAAAGTCCAATCAAACAAAAAACAACAAGACAACCTCCTAAACAGTCTCTTACAGAGCATCGTGCAGAAAAAGCACCATCCACCGAGGAAAGTTTTAATCCAGTCGTACTTTTTCCAGCTGCGCTGAATTCACGCTCACTACTTCTGCTGCTGGCGGGACACTAAACAGAGAACGAGCCGGTCGCGCGGATCGCGTTGCCGGGAAACCTGTGTGCGCGTGTGCGTGCCGTGAGCAGACTGTCAGTCATATATGTCAGTATGATAGGTTATAAATCGTCTTTCTATGTTTGCTTTTCAATAGTTATCTTCTCATATTTTATTTTAAGTAATATCTAAAATAGGCTATAAAAAAGATAAACCTAAAACAGGCCCGAGGCCCGGCCCGCGTGTGAACTATGACGTTAAAATTGGCCCGAAGCCCGGCCCGAGGAGTGTAAATAAGTCGGGGCCCGTCGGGCTCGGGCTGAAATGCAGGGCTCTAGTTAGGCTCGCAAAACTTAGATGTAAATGCAGGCTGTTAAAATGAATCGTACCAAAAACAAGATGAGAAAATCAGGTGGAGCTGAAATGTCTCTGACAAAAGCAAGTTTGTTGATGTCTCCTGCTCTAATCTTCCCTGACCGTCGAGCTTACTGAACCAAGCCATACATGTGTCATACAAGAGCAGTGTGTGTGCGCACGACGCCTGTCTGAACACAATGCTTCTGTCTTCATCCTCGTCCTCCTCCAGGTCTTCCATGCGCAGAAGGCCGGCTACAAGGCGGCGATTGTCCACAATGTGGACTCGGATGACTTAATCAGCATGGGATCCAATGATCGTAAGTTCCTGCACACGAATGCATAAAACATGTAGCAGAGACACCCGCTCATGTGTTCTGCTGTGGGACAATGCTGTGATTCACAAACCCCAGCCTCTGTGCTGATAATAACCGCTGCTGTATTTATGAATTCTGACCGAGTCGTGATGCCGTTCAGGACGAAGCCATGAAGGCCGAACTGGAGGAACCGACCTTCAGCGCTCTTGAAGGAATAGCTCATCATTTACTTACCGTAATGTTGTATCAAAACCACTTTGGACCCCATTGACTTTCATTATATCAACTAAGACATTTTAATCTCATTTTAATATATGTAAACTAGTGATGTCAAAAGATATCGATATTTCGATACGGACACTGATACGAGCTGTGCGTTCCCGTTCTCTCTTCTCTCCGACAGTGAGTTGACATGCACCCGCCTCCTCTCACTCGTTGCCTGAATTTTGTGTGGGGTATTGCACATAACGTTAGTCATTCCTCTTGGTTTTGCACTCACACCAAAAGTGTGTGCACCACTGAAATATATATATATATTAGGGCTGTGCAAAAATTAATTGCGATTAATCGCATCCAAAATAAAAGTCTGTGTTTACATAATATATTTCTGTGTGCTGTGTATAATTATTTTGTATATATAAATACATATGCATGCATATATATATATATATATTTAAGAATTATTTGCGCTTAAATTTTGTATATATATATGAAGAGTTCAGATGCAAAAGCCTCTAAATGCCGTTCTTTAATTTCTTCTTTAATTTCTTCTAAAATTGTTTCTTCTTTTTATCAAGCTTGTATATTTAAGTTCAGTGATTTCACTTAAATGCCAATGATAATTACCTATTAATTGTTATTTAAGTGAAATTACTGAACTTAAATATACAAGTTTGATAATCAACATTAAAGAAGAAAATTTCAAATGGCATTTAGAGGCTTTTGCATCTGAACTCTTCATATATATATATATATATATATATATATATATATATTAGGGCTGTCAAGCAATTAATCGTGATTAATCACATCCAAAATAAAAGTTTGTTTACATAATATATGTGTGTGCACGGTGTATAATTATTTTATATATATATATATATATATATATATATATATATATATATATATATATATATATATATAAATACACACGCATGCATGTATATATTTAAGAAATATTTTCATGTATATACTGTATTTACATTTATATATAATTTATTTTATATATAAATATAAATATTTTATATTTAAATTATATTTTTTTCTTAAATAAACATGCATGTGTGTTAGATATTATATCTATATATACTGTATATACAAAATAATTATACACAGTGCACCCACATATATGTAAACACAAAGTTTTATTTTGACAGCCCTAACATATATATAAAAAGTGGCGCTCTCATAAAGTCGCCTCTCAAACAGCTCGCGAGTGCCAAATTGAGTTCATTTTCATGGCTTAAACGATCATATATACACAAAATTATTTTAAAATGCCCATCTTGACGAGTATTCAGGTAAACACAGTCAGTTTTGGAAAGGAAACGCATGTTGTGTAACAACAATATATTGGAGCTCTTAAAGTGACGGCTAACCTAATAAACCGAAAAACTTAAAGCCATGTTTATTTCATTTGTCTCTTTATTCTATTGTATTTATTCATGTTGTCATTTGCTATTTGTTTTGTTTTTTATTATTGACTGTTTACTTGGCTTTTTTGTGAAGCCTCCATAAGCTATTGCAACAAAATGACCCAAATCATCAAAAAAATTACGAGATAATAATAAAAATATCTATATGGCCGTTTTCCCCATGGTATCGGAAACGGTATTGAATATTGACAAGTTATCGTATTGAAGTTAGAAATTCCAGTATCGTAACACTAATGTACATAATGTTACTGAATCGAGATTGAACAGTGTGTTATTGCTGAGAATGGTGACGGCCAAACACAATACTCAGTTATCTGAAGTGATCTATCCCTTTAAAATCAAAATCGACTTTTACAACTTTCAAATGCACTCCTAATAATGTGTTTACAAGGGTTTGTTTGAAGCATCAAATTGAATCAGAATAAAATCTGGTCGAGTTTACGGTCTACATTTGTTTGTTTTGCAGTGGATATCCTGAAGCAGATCGACATACCATCAGTGTTTATTGGGGAAGAAGCGGCCAACTCTCTGAAAGAGGATTACATCTATGAGAAAGGGTGAGGACTGAATACTTCACTGTTCTGATGCTTACCAGAAGCAGAAACATCTGCTCTCCACCAGTCATATGACACAAGACAAAGTCTGCTGTTCACACAGTCATCTGCAAATGTGAAATATTCCCAAAACTAGCATCAAATTTGAGGTTATATTCTCTGACAAAATGTGAAAGGTTGACCTGTATACATGTAGTGTCACACTCACAGTCTTGCGTTGTGTTTTCAGCGGTCATGTGATCCTGATGCCGGACTTCAGTTTGCCTCTGGAGTACTACCTGATCCCGTTCCTCATCATCGTTGGGATCTGCCTCATCCTCATTGTAGTTTTCATGGTGAGTCGCGATTGTGTGTAATAAAAACAACGGTATATATTAGTTTTGACGGACATATTTACATCCTTTTAATCTCAGATCACAAAGTTCGTACAGGACCGACATAGAGCCAGGAGAAGTCGCTTACGCAAGGACCAGCTGAAGAAGCTCCCCATTCACAAGTTCAAGAAAGGTAAGACACGCGCGTGTTAAATAGGATCAAACGCTGAGAATGTCTTCAAATACATCAAATGTCTCAAGACTGTAATCTGCTGCTCTGTGAACCATGTGACCAAGACTGGAGTAATGATGCTGAAAGTTCAGCTTTGATCACAGGAATAAATGACATTTTTGAATATATATTTACATATTATTCCACAATATTACAGGAGAGAGAGAGTTCTGGAATCTGATTTATACTTCATTGAGTCGGTAAATCAGTTCAACTGTCAATCTAAAATGAGTTCAGCTTCAATTATTTTGTAGTTTCTCGGGAAATGTAGGGAAATTCACTTCCGAAGCCATTTCAGAGCAAAAACATACATTCTGAAACAAAGATTATTAAAAAAAAAAAAAATAAGATAATAATAATTTTTGATGCACCGAAATTAATTTTTGATATGTTTTAGCTTACCTCAAGGGCATCTAAGATGTAGGTGTCTTTGTTTCCACAGTATTTTCAATTTTGATATTTTTAGGTCAAACCGTTCTTGTCTGTCAGTCATATAATGGAGGTCTATGGTCACCACCTCAAAGAGCATGCACAGAGAAGTCCAAATTAAACATGATTTAATGACTCGTAAATGTAAGTACACACTGATGGCCTAAGACACGAAACGAGCGGTTTGTGTGAAAACGAACAGCATTTATATGGTTTTACCTCTTGTAATCAAGTGATATGAGGGCGTGGGCGCTTCGGTCTGCACAAGCGCCGGAAAGTGCCAGAAGTGATAAAAAAAAAAAATCAACATTGTCTTTTGATACATCAAAATTGTCATCCATTGCTGTTTCCTGTATATCTAAATATGTTTAGATCTTCACAGTGAAGGGTAACGCTTCCGAAATCTCTGTGTAAACAAAGAGTGACGCACGCCCTCAGATCACTTGGACGTGGCTGTCGTTACAAGAAGTAAAACGATATAAATACTGTTTGTTTTCTCACACAAACCGCTCGTTTCGTGTCTTAGGCCATCAATGTGTACTTACATTTACGAGTCATTAAATCATGTTCAATTTGGACTTCTCTGTGCATGCTCTTTGAGGTGGTGACCATAGACCTCCATTATATGACTGACAGACAAGAACGGTTTGACCTGAAAATATCAAAATTGAAAATACTGTGGAAACAAAGACACCTACATCTTAGATGCCCTTGAGGTAAGATAAAACATACCAAAAATTAATTTCAAAGTGAACTATCCCGTTAACATTCTCTTATCTTAAATGTCAGATTCGTTTAAAATGGCTGTCATGTTGGAAAATGCAGTTTTTAAAGGGATAGTTCACCAAAAAATGAAAATCCTCTCATTAATTACTCATCCTTCGTTCATCTTGAAGACGCAAATGAAGATATTTTTAATTCTCTCCCTCCATTGACAGCCTACGCAACTACCACTTTCAAACCTAGTAAAGACGCCATTAAAGCAATCCGTGTGACTCCTAACCTCAATTGTATAAAAGGACACGCAAAAAAAAAAAAAAAACATAATTTACCACTTTATTCACAAAAATATTATCTCTAACATGCATTTTACAACTTAAAATTGTTTTTTTGCTTAAAGCAAGCACTCACGTCACTTCATAAATTGAAGTTAAACCACTGGAGTCACATGGATTACTTTAATGACGTCTTCACTGTCAGAATAAAGCTCTTAGCCTGTGTGTTTTGATGTTGCTGGGCGTCAGCATTTTCCGTGCGGGACGGAGAGCCTGGCATTGGTGTGGCACGTGACGAATGTGGGTGAAGTGTGGCATTCCCCTCCCACCGCCTCCACCCCCTCAGTGAATCATCAAGCATTTTTACAACCGAACCAACGGCGTGATTGACCGTGTGTCTACATGAATGAGCTCGTAGATGCGTCCAGTCCTGACGACCTGCAGACGTTCCTCCCTGAGGAGGTGTCAGGCGTCGAGTTTAAGGGATTCGGGTTATATCCACCGGTGTTTTACGCTTCAGATATTCAGTGTGAAGGTCATTTGAAATTGTTTCCATTTCATTTTGTTTACCAGATGTGGGTAATTTATCTACCCGATTATGAGTAAATGCCAACTGGACTGACTTAAAGTTAGTTAGGCTTTATTTTCTTTATGCAAATATATGGATATGAGCGAGGCAGCTTGTCTAAAAAAGACGTTTCAACTTTTTTTTTTTAGGTCAATGAATCACATTACGAGTGCAAAGAGGCGGAGAGGGAGTTTGTAACCATAGCTGTTCAAAAGTTTGCTAAATAACTTGCTGCTGAGTAAATAAACTATACATATAATTTTAACGATTAGTTTACACACGATTTATTTTATTATAGGCACGTGCTGCAGTTTTAATGTCCGCCGCTTTAAATGCTCAAGCTCTATAAACTCTTATTGATGGATTCTTATTGGTTGTCAATGTTTTCATAATTAATCAGACGGGAATCGCTCTGAAAAAAGTAACGTTCGTCAGTAACATGCTGTTCTTTATAGTTAATTTTGATTTAATTACGATAATTTAAAGGACTATGATATTATTTCTAGCTATTTTTTTTTGGGATGCAAGTAGTCTCATCTCTTCTGACTAGGGGTTTCATCAACTAGTCGACTAGTCGACTATCACAACCACTAGTTGGCGCTGTTGGCCTTAGTCGACTAGTCGGAAACAAAATGATGACATATATATAGATATATTTTTTTTGTTAACTATCCCTTTAAATACAAGCGACAGTACTATATACTATAAGCACTATAAGGCGCACCTTTAATTACCTATTTTAGAACATTTTTCAAACGTTTGACTGGGTTTGCGTTATGCATCCACTAGATGTGCTAAAGGGAATGCAGCGAGTGCGCAGCGTCGGAGGTGAGGCGTTTATTTAGTAAGCGTGAGCGCGCTGGGGCGGGCACGTAACTTGCATTCGTAGCCTGCTGACAGTAGTGTCTGTTCGTGTGTGTGTTAGAGAGAGCGAGCAATTGATCCATATATAATGCGCTCCGGATTATAAAGCTTGAGAAAAGGCCGGATTGAGAAAATTAAAGGCTTTTAAGTGCGCTTTATGGTGCGGAAAATACGAGTACTACTCTCGCTTTTAGACCAGCACGCGACGTGTTTAATATAGACGCATATTAGCCTACACCAGATTTTCTCTCAAATGTTTGCTTTCACTTTCTATATGGGGAGGCTGCACTTTAGACATAGCCAATTCTGTTTATGTAAACATTGTGTGTATTTAACAGTATTAGCATAATAAGACTTGAAAGATAACTTAGTCCAGTATTCAGGCGCTGTTTGACAGGCTTCTATTGCCTGTGAGCGTCGGGGATATGCCGCGCGCTCAGGAAAGCGCACGTTAGAACAGCGCATCAGCGCGTGAATTAAATGTTTAAGCGGCAAGGCTTAGCCTATGCAAACAATGAACTTTTGTGAATTGCAGTGTCCCGTACCTATTCCTTAACGTGTGATGTGTAGGCTACGTCGCGTTGTACAGTTGAGACAAGAGGCGCCAGAACTGATAGATTGCACTGTACACGATACTACTACCATATTTCTTCAAAAGCAGATCGTGGAGACATTTAATATTCGTGTTGTCGCACACCCCTAGAATAAACCATTTAACGACTAGTCGTCGACTGTTATGCAAAACTAGTCGACTAGCAAAAATCAGTAGTTGTGAAACCCCTACTTCTGACATGATGTTATAGCGACACTCTGTCGCCGTTGTCTTTTTAACTTTTTAACGTCTTTTTTGATGGTTGTCTACCAGCTTTAAGGCATAATAGCGCCACCTACAATGTTGGAGTTTCAGCGAGATAATTTACGATATTATTGCATATGAAGTATTTAAGGAGTAGTTCACTTTTGATAAAACTTTTGCTGATAATTTACTCACCCCCATGTCATCCAAGATGTCCATGTCTTTCTTTCTTCAGTCGAAAAGAAATTAAGGTTTTTGATGAAAACATTCCAGGATTTTTCTCCATATAATGGACTTCAATGGGAACCAAACGATTCAAGGTCCAAACGACAGTTTCAGTGGAAACTGTTCAAAGGGCTTTAAACGACTCCAGACGATGAATAAGGGTCTTATCAAGTGAAACATTCTCTCCTGTTCGAACTCGTTCATCAAAATGAACGAATCTTTTTTCGTGTCATTTGGTTCATTAAACAAACGAAATGAACGAGTTAACTCAGGAAAAGATTCGTTCATTTTGATGAACGAGTTTGAACAGGAGAGTCACGAACGCTCATCACAGAACAGAGCAAGGCGAGCGTTTGAGCTTATAAAACTTAAACTTTGTTATTTATTTATAAAATGAGTGATCGTTTCGCTTGATAAGACCCTTATTCATCGTCTGGAATCATTTAAAGCCCTTTGAACAGTTTGCAGTTTGCACTGAAACTGTCTTTTGGACCTTGAACCGTTTGGTTCCCATTGAAGTCCATTATATGGAGAAAATCATGGAATGTTTTCATCAAAAACCTTAATTTCTTTTCGACTGAAGAAAGAAAGACATGGACATCTTGGATGACATGGGAGTGAGCAAATTATCTGCAATAGTTTTTTTTAAAAGTGAACTACTCCTTTAACATATCGGTATTTATTTTTTAAAATATCCTTATTATCGTCAATACCTTTGATGTTAAGTGTTTTGTCATTTCTAACATACTTTATTAGCAAAGTATATAACGTATATTTACTGTGGCGCTTGTTGGAGACCTAAGGAAAGCTGAACCAAGAATTCAATATTTACAGTTCGCTACATGAAAAGTGATATCTCCAAATCATATTAGATTTTAAATTGAATATTAGCTTGCTATTTACTGAATACTGTGAAATGTACACTACATATGACCTAATATTTGTTAGTGTGCATTTCGCAACCATAAATATTTCAAGCAGTAGTCAGCACATGACCTCATCTTTGAAGTGCATTGTGGGATAGTTTCCATCCAGTAGGCTCTGTTGTTTACAGCTCGTTTTGGCAAACTGAGTAGGTACTACTTTTATATAAGTGTATACTTAGTTTTATTTTATATACTTCTATGCCGTGCTGTTGTATTAATAGTAGCGCGTTCACACTGATCATATCAAAAAGAAAATGTACAATTTACCCAGATGGTGCACTTAATTAACCGATAAAAAGAAGTGTGTAATGTTGTCACAGGGGCGTTCAGTGAATAAGTGCAGTGTGTCATTTGGGACAAAACTAGAATGAAAGCTGTGATGTTCTTATTGTCATGTGACCTACCAGCATCAATTATACTGTATATACTAAATACTAAACTAAATGAGCACATTGTTTACATTTTCATGAACCAGCCAGGAGAATTATTTAATTTTCAAAATATTCTCATCCGTTTGTTGAGCCATTGGCGCCAAAGCATGTATATGATGAGTCCTCTCTAAATATATGGGTTATCTAGATTAGCCCACTGACACATCTTACCCCCATCACCCTGGTTTCCTCCTCCTCTGCTGACGCGCTGGTTTTCTTCATCCGCTGCAGTGCTGATTCATCAGTCGCGTGGACCACAGACTCAACCAACAGCTGCCGACGGGCACCGGAATTACACACTCTCGGAAAACACACAGAGAGTGACGGCTCTGGGATTTTTACAACTGAATTGAACGGCTAGCATTTCAGTGAAACAAAGGAGGCCCTGTTTACTTTATCTGGTACTAAAATGTGGTTTGGTTGATCACAAGAGGACCTCACTAAATGGGGTCTAAAACGTTTTGAGCTTTTCCACTTACACGGGTAGTTGGAAACGCACTCACCGGATTGATTTCGTAGTGTAAATGTTTTTGTATAAAAAATATCCATATTTATCACTTAAAGGGCTCATGAACTGGCTTTTTAAATTTTATTATATTGTTGTCTGAGGTCAACTTATGACGTTCGCTTGGTTTTTGCATTCAAAAATGAATAAGTAATAGGCTATTTTGTACCCTAGTTTTAGCTCAAAAACGCTCATTTTTTTAATAATACTTACAGATTGTGATTCGGAGGAGGACGAACCTGATCCATGTACACTGGATACTGAGCCCTCCTTCGGGAACAACCGGCTTGCGAATCCACATTTGAATTCTTTTATATTTTTGAATGATTCGTCATTAAAATGATGAGAACACAAAGTTTGGGCTATACTGTTATCGGTATACTGGTATACTGGTGTCGTTGCAAATCTTCACATGCTCGTCCCGGGGCAATGAAAACAAGTGGCTGAACTGTCTTTGCAATGTCGAACACAGCGTCTTCTTGACATGATGCGATTCAGCTGAAGTATTTGAATATGTGTTCTAGACGTCACTTCAAGTCTGCGCGCGCAGTTGTTGGAGCGGCCAATGAGCTAATGTTTCGTATCTACATCACGACGAAACAGCTAATGACTCGTTTCAAAAACTATTCATTTCATAGACTCAAAGAGTTTTGAAAGACAATAACTTCATATACGGTGTACTTTCAGATATAAATCTTTGCAGGATGTTTTCATTCCCTTAGGCCGTGTGTCCACCAAAGTGTTTTTATCCAGCTGAAAACGCTAGACGCTCTGCTGAAGACGCTGTGCATTGAGCGCTTGAGAGCGCGTGTTTTTTTCTGTTGAGACGTTTCGTTGCTATGATACAGAATATAAGCAGCAGTTTGAATGTTGTGACAGTTGGTCAGTGTGCTATTAGTCCCGCCTCTCCTCCACTGTGATTGGATGGCAGGGTAAAATGTGACGGTGATGAGCGGTGCGTTTTATCCAAAGTTGAACATTTTTCAACTCCCGGCGACCAGTAAAAACGCTGGACGCTCGGCACTTCAGCGTGAAAAAAACGCTCAGTGCCTCGGTACGCTCATGGCGTTTAAAAAACGCGGCGCTCCCATTGACAACAATTGAAAACATACGCCAGGCGCGTGGAAAAACGCTTTGGTGGACACACGGCCTTAGAGCTATATTCCACACTACATGAACAGTCATTTTCAAAAATCCATGATAGGTGCTCTTTAAAACATGAAATTAGTCAACTATTATGAAATGGCTTTCGAAAAATGTTCAGGGTAACCCAGTAGTAGCGTTTATCTTAAAGTTCTGAACGAATGAAGAATTGTGCTCTGCAAGGTCATTCGCGTCACAAAGTGTACAAACTGTGAATCTGTAGCATCCAGACCTGTTCTTACAGACCAGCTTTCACTGTAAACTCTTCCCAAACCCCAAAGCAGTGAGCACAAATAAAGCCTCCGACATCCTGTAGTGACAGATATAAGCTTATCCATATACGGTCACACACAGGCACGGCGGTTTGAGAGACCGCGAGAAAATGTGTTCGTTTACTGTGTCTATAAACACCGGCCATCGGCAGAGTGGCTCCTCCATTGGTGGAAAGAAATGTGAAAAAAGGCAGAGGAATTCACAGGGAGGGCAGGACAAATTCCTGGACTTATTGAGACTGGAATGTTTTCCTTGATCCAGGACACACAGGATCTGAAGGAAACGCTGCAATCGCAAGTGTGCAGATCAGAAACCCGTTTAGTCAAGATATTGATGTGAAATGAGGAATTAATTACGGCTGTCAAAAATAAGCCGTTAACTTTGATCCCGCCGGGGAAAGGTGTAAATACTGATGCATCAAGGAGCGATCCTCATAAAAATATTGAGACCAAATGTATTAACTACACTGAACAAAATGATGAACGCAACACTTTTTTGTTTTTGCCCCCATCAGGAGCTGAAGACTTTTTCTTTGTACACAAAAGGCCTATTTCTCCCAAATATGGTTCACATCCGTCTAAATTGTGTTCGTGAGCACTTCTCCTTTGCCGAGATAATCCATTCACCTCATATTAAGATGCTGATTGGACAGCATAATTATTGCAAAGGTGTGCCTATGCTACGTTCACACCGGACGTGAATAGCATATCAGGCGCGAATATAAGTCAATGCAAAGACGCGTTACGCACGTATAAATTTCTGCGGCGCGAAAGAGCCATAGAGCGCGGTGCGGTAGACGCGAATACGCCTTGTTCGCGCGTCCAAGTTCGCAGAAATGATTTAGTTTGTGCTATTTGTGCACTCACGCGTTTGACGCGAATTCGCGCCTGCCGCCCGAGTTGAAAAATCTGAACAGGTCATCAAACTGAAAACAAATGGAACTCACCAAACGGTTTGCCTCCGAAGGGTTTGGTGGACACAAATACGGCGACGATGATCCCCACGCCGTTCTGCACTCCAGAGTAAATACAGAGCGGTGAATCTCTCGATGAATGCTCGGTCGACATAAAAAAGATGGCCGCCAACGGGTTTCGATTCTGACACGCGTAAATTTCGCTTCAAACTTTTGATTTTACGCGCGTCAGTTTCACTCGCGAATTAACACAAAGTGGTCAAACTAGACGCGAATTTGACGCGCTATTCGCGTCCGATGTGAACATAGCATTAGGCTGCCGACAATAAAATGTGCAGTTAAGTAAATGTGCGAAAGAATTGGTGGGGGAAAATAAACTAACAGCTCTCATTCATCATCACTATATTACTACAACACAAAAATTATATAACTATGTATATAAATGTGGCACAAAATGTTAACTTAAATTGAAAAGCCTATAAATGATGGCTTTCAAATATACTACAAATTTGAATGGCTTTAATTATTCATCACTAGAAACTGAGAAATATAAAGATATCAGTAGCACTTCTTTCATAAAATGAAATATCAAATATTTAAAGTATACCGTCTTTGTTGTTTCTACATTAATTTGGAGATTCGGTGTGAAAGTGCATTCCAGTATACAATATTACACATTTTTATGTTGTGTGCCATTAATTGCGGTTTATTATAGAAAACTTGACTTATTAATATCTACAGTTAGCTGTTTCTTCTCGTCTTCTAGGCGATTCCTATGATGTTTGTGCCATTTGCCTGGATGAGTATGAAGAGGGCGACAAGCTTCGGGTCCTGCCCTGCTCACACGGTGAGTGTTTACCGCTCGATCAGCAGATAATGCAGTTCGGGAAGGAGTTTACAGCCCAATATCAGTAAAAGGAATGTTTCGGATTCAATGCAAGTTCAGCTCGATCAACAGTGTCTGCGTTTTGTTTGTTTCTATGACCCACATTATTAGTTAAAGGAGTAGTTCACTTTAAAAAAAAAACTTTTGCTGATAATTTACTCACCCCAATGTCATCCAAGATGTCCATGTCTTTCTTCAGTCGAAATTTAAATGAATTCATTTAAACTGTGGAAACAAAGACACCTACATCTTGGATGCCTTTGAGGTAAGCTAAAACATACCAAAAATGTATTTGCGTGAACTATCCCTTTAATTTTAATTTACTAATTTTAATCGCTTTAGGAATCATTTTAAATTACAGTAGTCAACATGAAGAGGAAGTGGATAGTTCATGTATAACTTTGATCCACTTCAAGGTTTCTGATCCATTAGTTAATAATAGATGACGTTTGTCAGGATCTCTCGCACTCATTCTCTCTGCACCAATTATCAGCCTATCACTGCAAGTGTGTTGATCCGTGGCTGACCAAAACCAAGAAGACGTGTCCGGTGTGCAAGCAGAAAGTGGTGCCGTCCGACGGCGACTCTGAGTCCGAGTCCGACTCCGGGGACAGCGGAGGCGAGGAGAACGAAGTTTCGGAAAACACGCCCCTGCTGCGATCCCTGGCCTCTACCAGCGCCCATTCCTTTGGCACCATGTCCGGCTCTCCATCCCAGCGCGAAGTGGAGTCGTCGGACTACGACGAGCACAGCGACACCACTGACAGCGAGGAGGAGGTCACCGTGGAAACGGTCGTCGTACAGCTGCAACAGGGCCGTCCCGACAACATGGAGGCCGACGCTTAAACGTTAGCCAATCACAACTCGGACTCTTAATAGAGATTCCAATACGTTTCACCATCATTTACAATTTATCGTTCGCAGTTTCACATACAGCAAAATTTTCTACGAATCACGATCCCCCCCTCCCCCTTCCTCAAACGATTTTGCGAAATTGATCACGCACATGTTTGCCAGCCTCCGCAGACGAGCGTCACCTCTGGGAATGTAATTTGTGCTTGCTGACAAAACGCCAAACTCATCTCAGACGTGTATCCGATCGCGAACAACTGCATGTTTTATACGACACAATGAGACTTTATTATTGAACTTGTACTGACACTGATGTCACACTTTTAGTTGGATCATTAACAGTGGAGCCGTTCTAAATATCAGTCACTCCATGTGTAGTTTAACATCAGTTATGTACTGGAAGTAGGAGAAAAGTTGGAGGTATTTGTTTTGTTTTTGATAACTGTTACCAATGTCTGTTTGCCTTTTAATGTTGCTTTACTGTAAATATATCTCTTTCTGCTCACCCTCGTTTCTAAGTAGTCTATATTCATTTCTCTTCATGAATAAAATACTACACCTTTTGCTGCTTTCGTCTCAATTTCTCATCCATCATTTTGGAAAGTGGCACATGGTCTTAAAGGGATGCCGTTTTTGAATCCGTTCAGCCGATTTTCTGATATTTAGAAGAATATCAGTAACTAGACAGTTTCTGGTCTCATTGACTTCCATAGTAGGAAAAAAATATACTATGTAAGTCAATGAGATCAGAAACGCTCTGGTTACTGATATTCTTCTAAATATCAGAAAATCAGCTGAATGGATTCGAAAACAGTAAAACTCAACTGTTTAACTCTGGGGGAGTGGTAAAAGGAGCCAATTTCCCAAAAAAAAGTGGAATTTCCCCCACCCCCCCAAAAAAAATCAGATTTTAGTTTGATCATTTTACACTTTTAATAATAAATATAGCTGCGAGCAGCGATTGCGGGCCCAAGCCGGTGGCACCGCAACCCAGGTGCCTTAAAGGCACCGGGGTGGCGGTACCACCGGCTTTGGCCCTTCATATATAAGGGCCAAAATTAGTATATATATAAATTGTTAGTATATATATAAACCGGTGGCGGTGGCACCGCCACCTTAGTGCCTTTAGGGTTATTCTGCACGACGTGCAAAAACGTAACCCCCGCTTTGACTGTTGAAAAGAAGTGTGCTGAAGAGCTTGGTCTAAAGGTCTATATTTTCGAATGAAGAAACTTTTTCTTGCTGGACTTTATTGCTGTAACTTAAGGCCAATTTATACTTCTGCGTAGGGTGCGCGCAGTAGGTACGGCGTAGCATACGCACAGACGCGTCCCATACCGCGTACCCTTCCGCGTTGCCTGACGCGCACCTCTTCAAAAATGTAACTACACGACCGCAAGATCGGTGATTGGTCGGCTTGGTAGCGTCGTATTTCCTCATTCGCCCTTTCAGGGCTTGGGCCCTAATAATAGAAAAGAATAATCCCAAGGAAAACAATAGGGCCTTCGCCCTTTCAGGGCTTGGGCCCTAATAATTAGTATTTCCTCATTCTCAGAAGAAAATGATCAAATTTATCCATTTTTTGTGTGCAATTTGTTTCCCATTAACATTTTCCAATTGTTGTACAAAAAAAGCATATTTTCTAGGGCCGTGCAAAAATGAATTGCGATTAATCGCATCCAAAATAAAAGTCTGTTTACATAATATATTTGTGTGTGCAGTATATTATTATTTTCTATATATTTAAGAAAATGTGTTATTCATTTATAAAATATTTATATAATATCAGGTCTCCCTCGGAAAAGAGACTCAGTCTCAAGGGACTTCCTGGTTAAAAAAAAGCCAAACTTATCCATTTTTTGTGCGCAAAATAGGACATTTGTTTGTGCAATTTTTTTCCCATTAACATTTTCTAATTGTACAAACAAAGCATATTTTCGCTTATTATCTACTTTAACTTTGAGGAAAAACAGATTCCACATGAAATGACCCTTTAAAAAAACATGCAGCAAAAGAAACAGACAAGTAATTTGGTTGGAATAGATTTATTTAATTTGTCTGTAAACAAGGTGGTGAGATTAATTTATGGCATTTCTTGGTTTATGCATATGAAATCAGACTGTATCCAAGATGTATGAAAAAAGTACAGGGAAACAAGAAATGAACTGTAGTCGAGAGGTTTTGAACCTGTACAAATCTCCCACAAGGCCAGAACTTCTGCAGATACTAAAAACCCCTGAACCAAGAACTGATAGAATCGTTTGGGAAGCGTCTGAATCAATAATAGTAACAGATTCGCTCTACATTATGGCACAGAATACACATTACGATTGGAGTGAGTGTTATACATTTGGACTCGATAAAACATCAAGTTTTAACAGACATGACTCGAAGGCAATTTATCCCACAGTCATGACAATTCATTCATGGGTTAAATTCAATTCAAGTGTTGAAAGAGCTGGCAAAACAAGACCAGATGCTAGTGTTTTGTTGGTCAACGTAGTGTGTAAATAACCCAAGCAATGGCGAAAATTGGTCCAAATGAAAGAATTCAAACGGTATACTCCAAGCGCCTACACCGTCTCAAATGGCAGTCGTTGTGAAAATAAAAAATATATATATTACATAAGCTAGCAAAACAAGTGCAATGACGGAATGTCCATGAACATTCAATATGGGGTTGATGGGAGAAAATGCTACCGAAGCCCAAAAATCACTGCACTCAATGGACCGCCAACTATTTAAGAGCTCGACCTCCCAATCCATGAATGCTAGCTCGCGCTAGCATTCATGGATTGGGAGGTCGAGCTCTTAAATAGTGAAGGGAAAGGGAAAGGGAAAGGGAAAGGGAAAAGGATACGAATCAGGAAGCGTCACATCTACAGGTAGAGTTGACGAGACACTTTGGGTTGAGGGAAAACTAAAGAAATGGACATTTGTTAGCGCAGACGGCATATTTAATTTGGCGTCAAATTAAAAGTGCCGCCCATCCTGACTAAGGTCCATTCAAAGATATGTATACACACTCGACCTTTCCCAGATTTGATCTAGGAAAGGGAATTTTAGTTTAGCTCAAGCCCTTGGTAATAAACTAAACACCCAAAATGTTTGTTTTTGTTTCATGAATAAGCAGAAATTAGACTTACATTTAGTCTCAAATGCATCATGTTTAGCAATATGGGAACGAACACAATAAATGGACATATATGGGACGGGGTTATAAAGTAATGGGGGAAAGGATGGGTTTGGGTAGAAAAAGAAATTAGAGTTGAAAACAAATAAATGATTAAGCAAATCTCTCCTAGAAAGGTTAGTGTTGGTAGGAATGAGCGGCTAGATGGGCGGGTGTCTTAATATCCAGATTTCCTCAGGTATTCAGTCATTTGATACGCTTTCTTGTTGAGCAGCCCTCCATGGGTACCTTCCTTGCCCATGACTATAACCAATGCTGGAGTACACAGGGAAAAAAAACAAGAACAAAAATCAACAAACTTGAGGGGCGGGGGGAAAAAAGAATCAACTTTCCCAACTCAAAAAAGGGATGCAATTGTTGACACAAGATTCATTACCCTTCCTTGCCATTAAGATGTCCAAAAACTTTAAATGTGTTTCAATGGGGGGGGGGGGGGTCTTCACAGCTTATTTTGGGGATGTGGGTGACTTGTTTTTTCCCTCCCTAAATTTCACTACTTGATCAAGAAAAAAAGAAAGAAGCTAAAACCCTGAATCTCTCAAGTATTTTGCCATTGAATATGCCTTCTTATTCAAGCCGCCTCCGTGGACCCCTTCTTTGCCCATTACAAGAACCAAGACTGAAAGAGAAAGACAGAGAAAGGAAGTTAAGAGGACAGGGGAATCCAGCCCTGGAGAAAAAAGCCAAACCAAGATCAACAAGCTGAGATGAAAAGCAGAAAGAGATCAAGACAACAGGCATGCAGAGTGAAAGATTGCAGGCTAGAGGAAACACCTTTACTCTGCTACGACTGGTAACACCTTTTAATAACTTTCATTAACATCTACCATGTTCTGCGAGGTTTGTGGCACCAATCGTTGTAAAATTAAAGCTTTGTTCAGAACTTAAGGACCACTGGGAGTTAGATAGTAGATGTGCATATCGATACAACAGCTGCCATATCGATATTATTGTGCTTTTGAATGTAGCCTATTAAGGGCTTGAATTTCTGCACGGATATTGCGCATAATATTAATTATTCCCGCAGCTCACTCGCTTATAATGCTGGCTTTAGTATTGTGATGCGTATCGTACCGTGGCTTTATTATCGTGATACGTATCGTACCGTGACTTTAGTATCGCGATACATATCATACCGTGGCTTTAGTATCACGATACGTATCGTACCGTGGCTTTATTATAGTGATGCATATCGTACCGTGGCTTTAGTATCATACCGTGGCTTTAGTATCGTGATGCGTATCGTACCGTGGCTTTAGTATCGTGATACGTATCGTACCATGGCTTTAGTATCGTGATGCGCATCATATTGTGACATTGTTGGTGATACACAGCCCTAGGTAATATGGCATTAATTTATTATCAATTATTCCGCTTTATACCACGATCACCACATCTTAAGATTTACATATTTTTATCTCATAAGTTTTTCATCCTTACAAAACTTAAATGAAACTACTTCGCATTACAGGCAAATCACTTACAAATGAAGACATGTAGATGATTCACACTTCAACACCTTATTAATGTGGATCAAGAATTCAACAGCACCGAGATATAATGAAAGTTATAATATAGTGTTGCCATTTCGATTAGGTCTGTTGGTCCAGTAAGGACCAAACATTTAACTTATTTATTTGAACATTTAAATGTGAGCATGTGAAATCAAATGCAGGAAAGCAGGTTTAGTTCCTCTCCTCAACACATGCAGTGAGGTATGTGAAAGAGATTGATTCATGAAGGAACATTTTTATTTTCAGGAAACAGGAAATCCTCACATTTTAAAGTGCAATAGACCCAAGAGGTGTGTGAGATTAGCAGAAATGCATGCAAATGAGAGGGAATGTACCTCAACAGGTCTCAGAGACTTCCTCAACACTCGAGCTCAAGTCAACAGAGACCGTGTCAAATGACTAGCTAGTCAATGAGATGGTACTTTTAGATTGGTTTTATTCCCCCAAACTCCTTGCATTATCATTCTAAAGGCTTTAAATGGCATTTGTCTCCCATTAAGTCTACTTTTCAAACTATTTCAAAACTTTACTTTCACTTATTAAAAGAGCCCCATATGAAATAGAGTATTTGAAACAGTTGAGATGAAATCTACATTGCTATATTATTCATCTACCATTGAAAAAAAAAACATACATAATATTACTAATAAAAAGGTAAATGTGAAAGAATATAAGAAAGGACTACTACCTTTGGCAGCTTTCCCGACAGTAATGTTGTATGTTGGCTCTCCTCCTTGACTCTTCGTCCTTATGTCCATCGTCCAGTCACTGTCGACATGGAGACTGTCCCGGATAACCGAGCACTTCTTTGAACCTAAGGTCAGGCCGTGGGTGAAGAAACTTTCTCGGTCTTTCCCTACTAGGACGTCGATTTCTGTTGGCTGATATCAGAAAAACACCACAATATTAGTTGTGGAACTGCATCTTCTTGTCTAGTCTTTAACATTCATGGATTAATGATCAGCCAAATGCAAATCAACAAATGTAGGAAGCCAGGAAGATGAGTTATGGAAAGATCCATGTAGACAATTTAGATCAAGTAAAGAGTAGTACTTTGACTTGACGTCAATTAATCATTACGAGTGCATCAAAAGTTCATGCAGTTTTAATACTAAAGCCTCCGTAAGTCAGTATGGTGGGCTAGTCAGTTGGTAAAACTCACTGTTATTGTGCAACATATTCACTTTCAGTGTGCAGGGAACGTTGTTGACATCTGTCGGACAACTCAGTTTTAATTTCATGAGGCGTCACATTTGAGAAATGCATGAAGCACGGCTCAAAGTCATTATTAAAGCAAGCAGTTTTCCGTTAGTCAGTGTGGTGTGTTTGCGCTGACCAATTTGAACTATGAGCGAAATATGTGAGGGGAAACTTTTATCGTCCTCAAACGAAAAGCTGATCACGTTGACAGATACCTATTGAAATTACTAGATTTTACCCACAAAATTGTATAGATTTGCCAAAAAATTTTGCGATACTTTTTCTAAATGTTGATAAAAAAGACGGCGTTTCCATTATGTTTTTCCCTCTCGCGAGAAGTCATTCCAAAGATCAGGACAGCGGATGTTACTGGTTTGTGTATATCGCAGCCACCGCACTAGCCATTATTAGCCGCGTTTCCACTACCGGGCTAAGGCCAGGCCAGGGCTAACAGCGTGCCGAGTCAAGCCAGTAGCCTCGGGCCTCAAGCGCTGCCCTAAACCCCGCCCGTAACACGCCTTTCTGGATCAAACGACATACACCCCAACCCATTTCAGCGGGTATTATGAATTTATTTATTTTTTAAGTTAGGAAGATAGCATGTATATTAACTCACCGGCTGCTTTTGCAATAGTGTCCCGATTGTCTCGCCACTAACAGAGGGACGGTGACCCAGCACATCGTCCATCAAATCGAACCATTGCAAGTTCCTTTTCTGAGCTCCGCTTTGTCCATTGTGCATTTTAATCGCCTTGTACAATACTGCGCCCAAAACTTTTTAATTTTTTTCCTGAACTTGAAGCGTTGTTCGCTGAATGCTTAGCTTACTAAGTTCAGCATCGATGTATTTTAAAACGTCCTCGTTTCTTCACACACCGTCACATTGACGTTGTACCCTTTCTTCTGCCAAAATGCCCAGAGCTTTGGTATCTTCGACAGACCAGTACACTAGCAATTCTCCATTTCGAGCAGCGTAGAATATAAAAAAGTGAAATGTGCGTCTTGCTAATGATCAGAACACCGATAAACTCCATCTTTTATGAGTATAAAGAAGAACTCGATCTCGTCTTGTCCAAACACACTACGCCTTCTTTAAAGAGTGATCGACTGATCTGTACGCCAGCTAAAAAATGCTTTTTTCGGATTGCCTGAAAGACCACCTCACGCGAGCCCAAAACCTCTTGTATGCAGCTTATAATTCTTTCCCCGCCATTGACGAAACTTTCCGACAATCCTTGTTTTCACTGTTATGCGGTAGGAGGCGCTATTACGCATCTTCTGAAAGAGTACTGAATAATATGTTGCTTTTAATGAAACTTATCAACATTCAAGTGCTGGTGAAAAAAATGCATGCACAATAAACTTTTTTTGTTTGTTTAAAAGCAGACGCTTTGTTCTTACTTTTAATATATCGCATGTTTAGATATTCATACAACAAAATATTCTGGAGGCCAATTGTGAAAAGCTTAAAAAATGCTGCCACTGACTGGCAACTTTCCTCAAAAACGCTGGCGGGGAAAGAGTTAGTGCAAAAATTTGCGGGAAAATTTCCCACGCCGAAGTCACAGTGAATTTGCGCAACCAACTTGAAAGCAGTTGCGAAATCTTTTGCCCAAGGGTGAAATTCCCAATTATGTGAATTCCTTTTAAAATTACTTGATTTTGACCTTGAAAACTTGTTGAACACCCGTATGCGTGACCGCACCTTTGCTTAACTAGTCATGCAGACAAACCAACAACTAGACCATTTTGACTATTGATCATCCAACAATAAACTAATCTGACTAAATATGCTCTATTTTGACCATTCAATTTGGATAGGTGTTTATTTCTAGAGTTCTCTGAACATTTAAAAGGATATTTCTGGAGTATGATGAAAGCACAGCTTATTTGTTCCTTAAAAGGAACGTCTACTCGACAAATCTGGGAAACATTCGGCCTAACCCTCAAACTGGAATGCATTAATCACATTAAACATTGGTTTTATTTGTCAAACGCTGACAGATCAAGTCTGAACATGAAGTTTTCTTATTTGTTTCTTTGTCGTTTGTTCATCACAGCAGCTTTTTTTTTTTTGTTCTGGCTCACTACCGAGCCTTTTCCCCTGAGGCCAAACCACTTAAAGCAGCTACTCTTTGGTGAGAATCAGCCAGATGATGTTATTTCCAGTAAGGTTCGGAAGTGCTGGTATGGCTAAACCGGACAGTCTCAACTAACTTTAAGAAGCCTTTTTAAACTCATACTTGGCCAGAAACACAGGAACCTAAGAGGCAAAACCCACTCTGACTGCCATTCCCAACCCGTGCGACTGGCTGAGGCTGTCAAGCTTTAACGGAAGAAGTCCTACAGGTTTGGAGCAACATGAGATGACTCAATTTTGGGATGGACACGCCTTACAGCAACAACTTCATTCATTTGAGCCAGAAACTTTCACCTTACTGGATTATTACTAAGGAAGAAAGATAAAAGTATGCACACAACAACTTTTACAATCTCATTCCATAGCAAAAACCCATTAAAACTGTGCTTAATTCCTACAGCACTGCAGTCAACCTCCAATATAAGGATCCCTTCACCTTCTAACATTGAATTCCCATGAGTTCAGTCTTTTTTTTTTTCTTTTTCATCTTGACAGGTCTTGTTAGAATAACTCACCAAGAGTAGTTTCTAGCGGAAGAAATGTTTCAGAAACGAGCCTAACAAGAAGAAAACAACTCTGGTTTTGAAAATACCCAGACCTTCAAATCAGTTTTAAAGTTCCTTAACATTTCCAGGTACTCATGAACATAGGCACCCTGCAAAAGTCACATGAACAAACGGGAAAACAGGTTTTCGCAACCGCCCGTCAGAAAGTGTTAACAGCAGTAGAAAATAATGGCAATATAAAGGGACATTTAATGTTATCAGCTAACCTATTTATTTTTATTCCATACTCAGATAGCACAGGTGAGTCAACAAGATGTCCGCTAAAGATCTGTTAATCTGGAAAGCATTTGCTATGTAAAAACATCTAATGTCTTCGAAAAAAAAAAGTGTTTTACAAATCTTACAACGTAGTACAATAGTAAATCTCCTATTACAGATGAGGAAACACTCTAAAAAATACATCTTGCAGATGTAAATGCTGACATCAAATAGACATCTCTGAGATGTACTTGTGCTATCAGGAGATATGGGGATATCTGAATATTAGTGATAAGAAGAAAAATAACACTTAACGTTAGATATCAATGTGCATATGTGACAGACATCGGTTATGATCATGTTTGGTAGCTCATTTGAAGGCATTTATTGTAAATCAGCTTTATTAAAATTGAATGAAGGCCGTAAAAGACCTGAAGCTGAATGATGCAATCTGTGTTACAGAATACGAAAGTTCTGAATAAATGACATGTCATGAATGAATACACACACATATACATACATTCAAGTACATAATACATCAGTTATTGCATACTATTTGATAACCAACAATATTAACATATTATTTTGAATTGTGCAGAAGCAAGCAAGGCTTACGTGTTTGGAACGGCATGAGTGTAAGATATTGATTTCAAATTATTAATTATTTTATTTTTTGCCGATCCCTTTAACCTGTTAACAAATGTAAAACGAATGTTTACATATTTTAACCTTATAAGCAGCCATTGAATGCGGGGCATTAATCTGGGGAAAGTAAAGGACGATGTGGTAAATAAGCCTGTTATTAGATGAATTAACACCCGTTTATTGGGCGCCATCTTGGACTGGCAGGTACTGCGAGGATCCCGCATTCACGAAGGACTTTACGTACATTCCGCGGCGGAATGACCCGTGTATTCCCGTACACAAGTGTGTCAACGTAGTCTGGTGATCTAAGAGTCTGATCGGCCTGTTTGCACTAACAACACCACCCTCTTTATGACTGCAAAACACATTTCTTTAACTTTAAACCTTCTCAATCGTAACTTCTAACGCCCGACACTCGATTTTTACGTCACCACGTCTCCTAATTCGTGGTTTTACGACGAATACATCCAGTTAACCTCGATGAAATAACGGCAGGGTTTAGCCTAAATTAAAAAATAAATAAAACGTATACAAGAAACTCAAATACTTGGAAAAAAGGTGGAAAAAAATCTCTCCAAATTAAATTGAATTTGCTTTTGTCCAGCCAGTGTTAGCTGTCATTCCCACTCAAGCAGATCAGGCCCTGAATTTCTAACAAACTGTTTATTTAGGCTTGATTTTACAGCACACTTCAATCTCCGCGATGTAAAATAAACCGCGTCTGATGCGTATCAAATCAAGCGGCATTTCTGCGCTTTAGCTCCAGCTAAACAGGAGTTTAGAGGCGCATTGCGAGCCCTGTCTGGGGAGGCAGACTGACACACAGCCACAGTTTTCAGTCATTGACTAACGTTACATATGCAGCAGGAAGAGAAGCTGTTGTGTTAATAACACTTATTTACCGTGATGTTTATGAACGTCCCTCCCTCCTGCGCTGCCCACACGTATTTTGAGTCCGAGTTGCACCCAACAATGGCGGAGTCCTGGCAGCTGCCATCCGACATCAGGTTATCCACGTAGCTCTGCCACGACATGTTCGCCTTCTGGTTTCAAACGCTCCCACACGACACTTGCTCTGAAAAGACGGGACTGACAGTCTTTTGCGGTTACAGTATATTTGTGAGAGTCCCGTCCTGTCCTGCACGCCCCCTTCTCTAATGTGAGTTTGAGCAGTAAAGAGTCCCCGGCTGTACGGCACTCAGGGTGTAGTCCCTTAAATATCCATCCGCGTAGACTGCGGTCCAGTAGGACAAAGCCATGTGCGCGGATTGATACAGTTTCTGATTGGACGAATGAGTGCGAATGAGAAAGTTAGTGTGTGTAATATATTATTTAAATACTGAAGACAATTTTTAACATGATGCTTAGACTAGCCTACTAATAGTCACCATGAAATTAAAATTCTTCTTTTTTTTAAATAAATGTTGCGGTATTTATTATAAATGTTTTATCCGTGCACATCATTATTTATTTATTTTTAATCAAAATAGACCAGACAAACCCATATTCACATTTTCAGGGTTCTCAGAAGCAAAGTCGTTGTAGTTGTGTTAAACTTCTATGAGAGACTATATTAAATAAATATTTGTTTGTGTTTTCATTTGCTTAATTAGCAAAAGAAAAACTCAACGATAGTGTTTTCACACCTTTCAAAAAAAAAAAAAAAAAACCTATCCAGAGTGATTGGTAATGGCCGCCGGAAGAGAGAAAGATATAAAAAAAATGTACCTTTCTTTTACTATGATTCTACCGTCACTCCCACTGTCGCTAACACACTTTTTTTAAATTATTAAATAAAATGTAAAATAATAACTACAGTGTTAAATAGCCTATACATTTAAGAAACTTCGCAGGATTTACTATGCTGATTATGACCGTTAAAACGCGTCACAATTGTTTTTTTTTTTGTTGTTGTTGTTGTTGTTGTTGTTGTTGTTTTTTCAAGCATAGGATCTTTTTTTTTCTTTTTTGGTTTTTACTTTCCTCTTGCAACTACTGGCACGAGAGCGGGACGACCTGTCATTCACATGAGCTCGATCAGTGGTCCCTCCACATTTGTTCTTGTTCGCGAAGAATTTTCCCTCTGATACACGTCAAAATAGGGAAGACTATCAACTTATGTTTCATGCCTATATTAATTTTGTTACAGTTGACAGTAAACATAGCTTGCCATTTTATTCCCACTTTGGGTTTTTCCCTTCAAACAGTGTTTACAGAGCTCGGGCCAGCGCCCTGTCCTCGTGACAGGAGTGATTCGGCTGAGACACGCCCCAGCCTACTGACATTTAGGCTGAAAAATGCTTAAATTTCAGTTGCAAGTAGCCTAACACCTGGGGAACAACTCTGTTAAGAATGGACGGAACACATATAGATCATGGAAGAGATTTTATTTACAATCGAGCTTATTAACATAATTTATCACTGGCTGTACAGTAACATGCCAGCACTGACAAGTAGCCTATTTAGCTTATGAAACCTGAGACGTGAAAAAACAGAATTGCTCTGAAATGTTGTCACAAATATCATGGCCTCTTATGACCTCTTGTGAACGAATCCTGTAAAGACACAATTTGAAGACTTCATATTAGAAAGCCAGTCAGTTTTATATATAATATAAATATGTATATATATATATATATATATATATATATATATAATTTTTTTATTTATTTATTTTTTTATTATTATTATTGTCTTAATTTCATACTTGCATCGGCCTGTTATTGCCTGGGACAAAGTGTCCGTGTTCTTGTAAGTGAACAGAGCGATTATTAAAGCAGCTATTCAAATGCTGTATAATTTCCCAGAGGCTTGTACACATGCATAAGCAAATATTTATATTCAAATTAGATGATATTTTCCATAGGCTAAAGGCCTATGTGTGTTTTATTATTTTTAACACAGCCTCTAGTGAAAAAAAGCAAACCGTACTAGTCCAGTGCTGGGTAGATTACAAATTAGTAGATCTAAATCACTCATTTTAGGTAATGTATTATACTTTTAGATTACTTTTGACCCGACTCATTTATCCCATTGATTTGAATAGATTAACTCTTACCACATAAAACACAAAGAGAAAAAAATATATATAGGCTAGCCTATTCCATTCTTGGTTATCAAGTGCATTAAATATTAAATTAGCTCTTACATACTGGGGGTTGTGATGGAATTGCAGAGGGTTTGTGAGTTTAATGAAAATCTATTAAGTAGCCTAATTCAATCATAAAAATTAAAATAAATAATTGTTAATTTAATCGAAATAATACATGTACTAAAAACAAAAACAAAAACAAAAAAACATTTGTTTACCTGCACGTCATGTGACCATTAACCGACAACCGAACAGTGAACTTCGTTTTTCTTCGTAGTTATTATTATTATTATTATTATTATTATTGACCTATCTTATTATCTTAAAATCTTTGGGGTTAGGCCCTACTTCAAGTAAATATATTGCTGCTGTCAGGAAAGTTGTGGAATTCCCTGCATTGCATGTTAAATATAAAATTATGTATAATATTATTATGTTTTGAAGATTTCGGAAGATTTATAATTATGTTTTGAAGATTTTAATATGTCAAAATCCTTCCAAAGACAGTAAAGGTTAATAGGTGATAATTCAAGTAATAATCGATGATCGAATGCTGTATCAGTTTTCAGTGATGGTCACATGACCAGTGTCTGATGGTCTCTCTGTGTGTGTGTGTGTGTGTGTGTGTGTGTGTGTGTGTGTGTGTGTGTGTGTGTGTGTGTGTGTGTGTGTGTGTGTGTGTGTGTGTGTGTGTGTGTGTGTGTGTGTGTGTGTGTGTGTGTGTGTGTGTGTGTGTGTGTGTGTGCGCGTGTGTGTGCGTGGGTGTGTGTGTGTGTGTGTGATTCCACATAGTTATGCATGTGTGTTGCAAATTTACTCACAGTCAACCTCAGAATGTGCTAAAGGACCAAAGTGTCTCCACGATTTCTCAAACACAAAGCGATGCTCAATTGTATCTGTGGTGCGCTAGCGACCTCTTGTGAATAAAGCTTGCAAAACTACATCAAATGTGCAAATTAGCAACAATAAAATCATATATGAACTATGTTGAGAGATTTCAGAGTTATTGCCAAGACATCTTAACAGCTCTAGACGTTTTACAGATCATATATGATTTTACATTACACTGTAAAAAAATGTTGTTGGTTTAACTTAAAAAATGAAGTAACCTGGTTGCCTTAAAATTTTAAGTTCATGAAAAAATTGAGTTAATTCAATGAAGGAGATTGGTTTAATCATCAGAAACTCAAAATATGATGTTATCTGAACTATGTAAATTATTTAAGTTGATTTGACAAAAGAAAAAAATGTTTTGATTACAAATAATGAAAATATTTTTTTTACAGTGTATAGTGACAACAGTCACTGAACCTGCCATTACAGTGTCATGGGTTTTAGCCAGGCAACAGTTATGAAGCACAGTAATAGAGCTAAAGTATATCATATATACAAAAAATCAAACATTATTTTAAACAACAACATTTTAATAATTAATAAGTAACATAATAACATTGAAAGCTTGACATGTTGGCCTTGTGAAAATGCCCTTGCATTGATACTGCAGTCCAACAGTGATCCTTCAGTATTACATACTGTAGTGTTGAGTTTATTTGTCCGTGGGGTCGAATTTGATCAACTACAACAAAAATATGATGATTTTGTCAATTTAGTTGGGAAAATATAATTCACAAAAGCAATCTATTTTAAAACAGCTTTGAATTAGGTGCGTTTAAAACTATTACCAATGGTACTGGAAATTGTATTACTGAGAGTTAGTTTATACACAGTGCTGCTTGAAAGTTTGTGAACCCCTTGCAGAATCTGTGAAAATGTGTATAATTATAACAAAATGTAGTACTCCAAAATAAGATATTTTACATAAAAAAAAAATGTTTACATATAGTCCACAAGACACAACATGTAAAAATGTATTGTAATTACTATAATTATAACTAATTATAAAAATCACTTTAGTTTTCCAGGATCTTTTGCACATGTGAACCAGCAGTATATATCTCTGTGTTGTTGATTAGTCATTACCTGTTGTCTCATTAATTAGCTTATTCCCTTTGTTTGCTCCGCGTATTTATACCTTGCATGTGTCCTCCCTAATTCTGTTTGTTCTCATCAATGTTACGTTGTGTCTGTTCTCCTGGGTTTGATCATTAAACACTATTATACTTAATCTCCTTTGTCTCCGTGCATTCACACAACCGGCCACGGCCAGCTATAATATAATGTAATTTAATATAATGTAATATAACATAATAATAATAATATCATTTAATATAATATATTATAATAATTACTGTACTGTGAACGGTGTTCAAAATATCCACTGCAAATATTATAATACACAATAGCAATATAATATAATGTAACGTAATGTAATAACGTATATAAAATTAAAATTATATTATATAATATTTCAATATTTTGTTTTGGGTTTTCCATCCAGACAGGGTTGTCTATTTACATATCTTGGCCTACATTTCTGCCTTTTTTCTGTCGAAAGGGCCATTTATTTTAGTTGAATGGTGTTTGCTAACTCTGAGTCACACAGGGGGATTGAGTGGCTCATCTGGAAAGCCAGACAGGACACCACCAAACAGGTTTTCCGTTCGTTCTGGTGAAAACATAAATCATTTTTTATTAGCCTACTTCACTTTTAATAGACATTGAAATAAATAACCGGCCGTGCAGACCATCATTTAAAAAAAAAGAATGCAAATGTATTAACTGATGTTATTCCATTGTTTTAATTAGCTAATGTGTAACTATTAATTTTTGCCCAGTCATTTTTCAAGCATTTAAATCATGTTACGAAATACAATTTCTTCTTTGTTTAGCCTTTCTGGAAAGGTTCACGCAGGGGGCGATGAGGAATGTGGCGACTGTAGACAGAAACATATTTGCCGGAGTTTGTTTATTAGTTCAGCTCATTATTTTAGGCATGAGTCTATTCCAATAAGTAGAGGAGGCTGTGTTTGTTTTGCATGCCTTTGAGTGTCACCATCCTCTCCGCTTCCCGATCCAAACACCAGTGGAAAAGCGCAACACACTGAAAGAAACACTTGACAAGCTTCTTTTCATGAGGAGACACAGATGTAGCTTTCTAAAAACTAATTTCTAGAGTAAATGGTAAATCCTGAAGGAGAATTTATTGAAGTCCCAAATA